ATCTATCTTCGGGATAGGCTTCTCAAATACCCCGGGATTTAGATATTGCAAAAATGGTTATTCATTTCTGAGGAAATGGTGGGGGGACCTCATCTGACCTCCTCTGATCTCACAAGGAGGAAGGAGAGTCAAATTCTATTTCAGTCCAAGCCTGATTTCTATGCGGCAGAAGCCAGACAAGCCTGCACCCTCCAACCTTCTTTACTCTGATTTGGCACCAACCATCCCTCCCGTGGCTCTCTGGTTCTCTGCTGGGTTCAAGAATCCATTACATGGGATTACACGGGACTCACAGACAATCCTCACCGTTAGGAGAGTTTACTATGAAGTTAGCGGGGTACATTTCAGGATAAGAAACATTAAGGATGTCATTCTTTTGTTCACAGCACCCCTTCTCAGCCATGCCCCCAGGCACATCTCTCTCTAGTCCAGTGGTTCTCAACCTGTGGGTCGCGACCCCTTTGGGGGTCGAACGACCCTTTCACAGGAGTCACCTGATTCATAACAGTAGCAAAATGACAGTGATGAAGTAGCAATGAAAATAATGTTATGGTTGGGGGGGTCACGACAACATGACTGTATGAAAGGGTCGCGGCATGAGGAAGGTTGGGAACCACTGCTCCAGTCCCTGATCTCAGCCATGCTCCCCCTTGGCCCCTGCTTGGCTTCAGCATGTGCTACCAAGTTCTTTGGTTAGTAAACACCAAAGGATGCCCTACTCTGCAAGCCAGACTCCTACTGGGCAGTATTCAGCTGCAAGGGCCAGGGAGCCCAGGGCTCTGTCTCAGGTCTTTGCTGCGACTGCAAGTTCTCTGTGCGGGAATCTTAGTCATGCTCCACTGACAACTTGTCTTTCTTTATGGCTCTAGTATTTTCCACTTCTGAGATGCACCGTGGTATGACCACACTGACCAATCTTCACACTGGAGTCCTTTCTACTCTTTTCAGTGTGTCCCCACCCACTCATTAGTGGGAGTTGTAAAGACTCGGAAGAGAAGAGCCATACTAGGAATTTTACTTTGCCACCATCACAACAGACACTAAGGTATGCTTCTACTGTAAAACACTGACATGTTGATTGGAATATGTGACCTAGAGGCAGAAATATGTCATTGACAAATAATTTTGAATTAGAAAAGTAAAGATGTCCTTGTGTGGCTTCATTTAAGAGTCTGGTTAGGAAGCTATGTACATCACATTCCAGTTGGTCTTGGAACATCAATCACCGCATTGAGCTCTTTATTCACGGAAGTGAAAAATATCACGATTTTCCAGAAGCTGAAACTTCTGTGAAAAATAAAATAGGCCTGGAAGGTTCCAGCCTTTAAATTAGTATGTGGTTTGTAAACATCCTTTCTCTGCTCCTGCTTGGAAATGGGGCTCTCCGTAATCAGAAGGCATGTAGGGAAGATGGTCAGCCTCTCCAGGAGATGTGTGCGGCTTGTTCTGGCAGACGTGCAGACTGATTGCTGTCATTACAGGAAGTGAGATGACCTCGAATAAATGCCCAGATCCCATCGTTTTTGTCCCAAGCCTGAAACTTCCGTTTGTATGGCCCGTGGAAAAAGGGTTAAACTAGCATTCGTTGCTTTTGTTCAGGCCTCACCATCTCTTAATGGATGTTTGCAATTATGGTTGGCTGCTAACCATAAGGTCGGCAGTTCAAATCCACCAGCTGCTCTGCAGGGGAAAGATGGAGCTGTTTACTCCCCAAAGATTTACAGCCTTGGAAACCCAACGGAGCAGTTCTGCCCTGTCCCTAGGGGCGTTACGAGTGGGCATTGACTTGATAGTAGTGGGTTTGTTTTTGTATAACGAGTTTGACTATTTTTTTGCATCTCCACACTATTGAAATTTCTCTCTGAAATTCTAAGCTGACTGTCACGTCTCTGTCTAAAACTCCTCATTAGCTCACAGGATCTGTAGGATATGTGGAACAAGATTCAGCAATACCAGGCTGACTTATGCCTGCAATGTTTCCCTTTGTCTACTTGGAGGATTCCTAGTCAGTCTTCACATCCCAGCAGACGTCACAGCCTCGGTAATGCTGTCTGGGGTCCTAAGTTCTTGTTAATGAGCCCCTCCTCTTGTAACCTTGTATGAACTCCCATAGTACACTATACAATATAATAATTACTTATCATATAAATGAAGACAACTGTCTCCCTCCTAGAGGACAGGATTTAGGTCTTTCTTGTCTGTGTAGGCAGCATCTAGTACAGTATTAGAAAGAGTAGATTCCCCCAAAAGAAAAAAATAAACCCTCAAATGTTTTGCTGAACTAAACATAATATTTTAATAAAAACCAGTAGCATTTATTTGTAGTTAAATGTACTAATTAAACTCTGTGTACTGGAAAGAGCAAGCTGCCAACTACTTTGACCTAGTTTTAATACATTAGGATCTCCTATTCCCATCCCTGAGGGCAGTAATGAAATCTGCTTACCCATCTAAGCTATTTATCAAAGCACCTTGACTAATTTCCTTAGGCTTCCCTTAGATCCAGATGGCCCTATGTTCTAGATTAAAAAACAAAATCACTGCCATAAAGTCAATGCCAACTCATAGTGACCCTGTAGGACAGGGTAGAGCTGCCCCTGTAAATTTTAAAGACTGTAACTCTTTACTAGAACAAAAAGCCTTGTCTTTCTCACAGAACTGCTGGTGGTTTTGAACTGATGACCTTGCAGTCTGGGTACACATTAATTAAATTCTCATTAAAATGCATTGAGTAGCAAAAAGAGAGATCTCTTTCTTTTGGGGGATAGACCATGGTACAATATTGGCCCAATAGGGCTGTTGTATCCAGAGAGAGCTGCCTGTGTTAGGGCAAAGACTACTTGCTTTTCCAGTAGCAGGGGAAAAGTTTACATTTTTATTATGGTATAAAAGGCATGTTAAATGCAATATATCTTCCACTAATACCATGAGGATTCTCGGACCAGAGAGGATTACTGTGTCACTTCTTCTATGTGTGACCTTACTTTACTATTTTGTGTCTTTTCCCACTCATTTGCAAAAGTGGGGATACTTACACTGTTGATTTTATAGGACCACTATAAGGATGAAATGAGATAACACATAATTAGCACGTGGTAAACTCATTGATTTTGCTTGTTGATGAGGGATCAAAGTCTCACCAAAGTTAAATGACTTCTCCTTTAAAGTAGCAGAAGCAGCACTTCCTACTATGCGACACTGCTTTGGTGGCTCTGCCACCATACTGTGAATGACGTGTGGCAGGGAGAGGAATCTGAACTGGAGGACAACATTGACCTTGGTATGTATGCAAGGTAAACAAACAGCCAAACACATACAGTGAGTGCACAGATGGTTAATCTCGCCATGACATGCTTTGGACAAGCAGCACACAGTGGATTGGGTTACCAAGGAACGCTCACGGATAGACGGGGGGCCGGAGGAGACTTCTTCATCAGGCCATCTGCAAATGCACCCGGAGCGACGCTCACTGGAGCGAGCGCCGCGCCACGAGGAGCATAATCTGGTTGGATTCCCCTCCCCGCCCTCCACCCTCCATGCCCGATAGTCCAGGGAAGCCTTCCACATAGACATCAAGTTGATTGCAGACAGTGTCCTTGAAACGAAAGAAGACTCAGTCCCCAAGCAATGCCCTTCTGCTCTTGAACCCGTCTGAGTCAAGAGCATAAGATCTACTAGTGGAAAAGGTTCGTAGCTTTTCAACCTCAAATTATTAGATGAGTTTACTTAATCTGCCTTCTCTTCCTATTGGGAGCAGAATAATCAAGCTTTTTTCTCTAGAAAAGCAGTCAGAAGATGCAGGCGCGGGTCCCGAGTCCATTATTTACAAGCGGAAGAAACTTGAAAACTAAACCAAACTCTCTGCCATCGAGTCCACGGTGACTCACAGCAACTCTGTAGGACAGGGTACAACTGTCCCTGTGAGTCTCACGACTGTAACTCTTTGCAGGAGTAGAAAGTCCCGTCTTGCTCCTAAGGAGCTGGTTGGTGGTTTTGAACTGCAGACCTTGCGGTTAGCAGTCCAATGTGTAACCACTACATCATCCAGGACCCTTGAAGAAACTTGAAGAAGGTAGTTAAATGCCATGAGCTTTAAAGTCTCATCTGTAAAATGGGGGTGGTGATAAAACACCTATCTAGTAAGCTTGTTGTGAGGGTTGAAAGAGTTGCCAATAATAAAGAGCAATATGATTTATTGTTGTTATTCCCGAAACATCATCGTCCAGGTCTCAGTCCCACCTTCCTCTGACTCCTATGGCTTTCTGACCTGCTAGGTATGTCCAGTTCATCATAAAATGTGGTTCTCCATTACTGTCAGATTTTCATTATTGATGAAACGTGTCATAGCTCTATAATGTGTTGTTCAAGAGCAGGGGTCATGTATCACGTCTAGTCTAAACTTCCTATAATATCTGGAATCAGTAAATATTGATGGTTGATGGTGCAGATGTGCAGGTCAGAGCCTGCACTCCCTCACCCAGCCTCCCCTGCAAATGGGAGTCAAAGTAGAAGAGAAGAGGGTTGGATCACAACGTGGAGACCTGAGTTTTGGGTCTGGCACTATCACTTGCTATTGGTTTTCTCAATTCTGAATTGAGTGGACTGATGCCACCCTTGTCGTTATGAAAGAGTACCAGGGTGGCACAAATGGTTAAGCACTTGACAGCTGACCAAGACTGTGGCTGTTAGAGTCCATGCAGAGGAGTCTTGGCAGAAATGCCTGGTGATTTACCTCCAAAAGGCCCGCCATTGAAAACCCACTGAGTGCAGTTCTAGTCTCCGGCACTTGGGGTCCTCATGGGTTGGAACTGACTCAAGTACAACCGTGGGCTCTTCTATGTACTTCTAAGGAGCATGCAGCTACTGAACACACGTGGGAGATTTCGTAAACTAAAAGGAAACTGTGAAGGGCATGGCTTTGGAAACAGAGCAGTTGGTCCAAGTGAGAAGGAGGCCCACACACACCCACGTGTGACACTAGCCACCTTCAGGTCACTTACCTGGAACATTTGGGTTGCAAATGGGCCATGGGAGGAAGGTCTGGGTGCGGTTGCTGATGGGGTTGCTAGCGGTGCAGACGTACACAGTGCTGACATACTGAGGGCCGAGGGTGAGGTACAGGAGGTGGGAGCTGTTGGCCAGGCTCAGTAGAGGGACATCTGTCTCCGTGCTCCAGCTGTAAACCACATGGTCCCCTCTCTTTGCCGAACAGGCCAGCATCAGACTGCAGTTCCCGCTCTCCTGTGTCCGGTTTAACACCTTAATCTCTGGAGTGGAGACCTCCTCTGTCAGGAGGGGGAGGAAGGGAGCCATCAGTGAAATGAACACCCTGGAATTCTGAATCGACCTTTATGTTAGAAAACATGCAGCCTGATAACATATCCTCTGCCCCAAGGGACTGTCGTGTGATTTATTTCTAGTGCACCGCCCCTCTCTGCCTCTATGCTCCTTCTCGTGCTACCTCGGGATAAAATAAAGGAGAATCGGGAGCTTTGGTTTCCTTCTGCCAATTACTGTTTATAACCAGGGCTCTTTGTGATGTCCTCTGATGTAGTTTGCTCCATCCTAGCCACACCCCCATTAGCATACCCCACTGTGATGCTATGGGGTAGGCAAGGAAAAAGGGGACGTCTTATTGACTTAGAAATTATGGTAGCAGCTACTGCTTGCATTCCACATGCATCACTGTCTTTAATCTTCCTACCAACTCTTTGGGGGCAGTTATAATTACACCCGTTTTATAGAGAAGGAAATGGATTCCCAGAGAAGTGAAACGTCTTCTACAATGTCACGTAGCTTCAAAGCCTCAAAGGGGAAATCTGAAACTAGTCCATCTGACTGTCACACCCGGCCTCTTTGCCTTGAGAAGAAAGTCGTGGTCTCAGAAGCCACATTTCCCAAGGGAAGAATTTGATCGCATGGGCTAGTTGAAAAAATTCAGGTTGTGTGGGTCTCCTTGGGCATGGCAGCCTTGGCCCCGGGTCACTATTAGAGTAATGAGGATTCCTTAACTCTCAATATAAGACGTGGGGAAAATTTTCAGACACAGTTTGAAGGAAAAATATTTCTAAGGGTAGGGGCTTGGTGTGGAGGGTGTTGTTGTCTCTCGCCAAGATACCCAAGGATTTCAAAGAAATGCTGAATGATGGGAGCTATCTGACCCATCTGCAGAGAGCAGGAAGTCACTTTGAGCAATCAAGAAAGCCCCATGCAGCTGTCAGAATTTCTGGGAATTCAAGTGGGCCCAAAAGAAAGAGATTCTAGGTGCACATGAGTAAAACTGTTAAGAAAAAAAAGAAAGAAAGAAAAATAAAATACAAAACTGAGAGACAGAGAGAGAGATACTAAAGGGAATGATACTCTGTTAAAACAACAACAACAACAACAACAATAACAACAAAAGGACAGCAGATACCAGAAAAGGAGAAAGAAAAAAGAAAGTCCCGGCACTGAAGTTAGGTAGGCCCTGGTTGTAGTTTAAGATCTGCTACTGAGCAACTTTATAACCAGAGTTATAAAGTTTTACTTTGGGGGAGCAATGTAATGCTTAAACGGGAAAAAGCCAACAGGTTGATGCAACCCAGTACCAGGGAGACAACCCAAACTTATGGGGCTGCGCGCCGTGAACAAGCCATGCACATTTGCACACGCAAAACACTGCTCTGGGTCCCCATGGCCTCAGCCATGCAGGAGAGTGGACTTGATGAGCGGTACTCAAACGTGGCAAAAATCACAAACGAAAGTCTTTTTCCAAACCAAACCTTATTCCCAAACCAGCTCCTGTAGGCGTTAGGCACTTCAGCCCACAGACAGCTGGACTCCCGTTTTTTGGGAAATGGGGGCCAAGTGTTAATACCTACGCTACTACCAATGCATAATAATAAAAAAAAGAACCTCCACAATTTCTTCTATGACGCCCAGTTTATATATCCCCTTTCTAGATGATTTCTCAACTTTCTTCTAATGATAAATACCCTTGGCTTCTGAGAGAGGCCTTAATTCCTGCATAAAGGACCACCACGGCCCTCCCGTGTGAATTGGAGAAGCCACCATTATTACCATAAAGCTTCAGTTGCAGACAAAATAGCTCTACAGAAGTGTTCTGCTCCAGGGTCAAAGTGTACCAGCCTTCATCCTCCTTCTTGCTTTCTAGGATCTCCAGCGTCAGATTTTCCAGGTGAAATTTATACCCTTCTAGTTTGGGTGGAGAGCTTCCTTCAGATGGATTAAGAGATACTATTTTCTTCTGGATGGTGCTTCCAAGTGGTGACGTTTCCATGGTGACAAGGATGCGGATGCTCTTGCTTATGTTCTTATTTTTCCCTTCATACTCCAGGGGTAGCATTACATTGCTCCCCAACTTCTGGATTACCTTGGGACACTTCACTAGTTGTCGACCTATGGGAAGGAGGAGGAGAAAGTCTTTTGTCATCGAGGCTCCAGAGCTACGTCATCTGAGGATCCAGACTGCCCAGCTGGGAGGGTCTCCCTCTTCCTCATGGACCACAGTCCAGGGGATGCTAGGTCCTTAGTGACTGTGGAAATGATCGTGAGGATTCCCATTTGCTTTCTAATATTTAAAAAATTCCAATGGAAATCTTAAACCACATAGGCTAGAGCTAAGTAGAATGAACTAATGCCACTAACTATAACACTGGGTTTCCCTAGTAGGGGAGAAATTCTGTCCAATTGGATCTAGGCTATTTAAAATGCAAAGAAGTTCAATGGTTTCCCTAAAGATGCATAATTTCCCAGGCAGAGTCAGGACCGAAATCCAGGTCTGTTCATGCCTCTGCCAGTGTTTCACCACATTGGGTATTTGGGATAAAGGTAAACAAGCGCTACAACTCTGCGTTTGTGAACCCCAGGGGGTCAGGAAGCCAGGAACATCACAGATGGTGGTGAGAAGAAAAGAAACAGCCTGAGGGAAGTAGGTCAACGAGGTGGTGAGCCCAGTGTTCCAACAAGCTCACCCCCTAAAGCCCTATCATACTGAGGGTGAGAAATTATTTGAGTTGTCTTTGTCATAAAAAGCTGAGCTGGCAAAAAAAAAGTGCAAAAACAAACAACAAAAACCTGTTTAAACCACTGTCAGGGACCCTACTGCTGACGATTTCACACCTCTTTCCTCCTCAAACCACAACCTGCTTTCCCCCTCTTCTCTCAGTGATGTTCTTACAGTTCTCTTTACTGAAAAAAAAATAGAAGAAGTAGAGAACATTAATCTAGTACCACCACTGAATCAACCCGCTGACCTGCATGGACAGGCTCTGCTCACATTCAAGACCAGAGCCTCTTCCTCCACGGAGCCTTCAGTTCAAGTCTCTGCCCTGTAGCTCTTCCTGCCTCCTGCACCATCAGTTTTCCACCGGGCTCTTTCCAGCGTGGCACCATCATGCTGATTGTTTACTAGAGCTTCGTTCGGAGGACCAGGCTTGTGGAAGGCTCTGGTTTACAGTGGGGGCCCTAGAGTCTACGTATATTCAGCCTCCATTGAATCCTCTCTGATAACTGACTAGCAATTTGAAAACCTTACTCTCAGGTGGAGTGTGCTTGAAAATAGACTACTACCGCGCCATTAGCCATCTGAGGGTGGGACAGCGTCACCCTCAGGGACTAGCTTTGATGGACATTGGTGTGCTAGGGCCACGTAGTTATGAGTGATACCCTCGCTACTTAGTCAGAGGAACCCTCAGTGGTGTAGTGGGTTATGTGTTGGGCTGTTAACCACAAGGTCAGCAGTTTGAAACTCCTCGTTACTCTGCCAGAGCAAGATGAGGCTTTCTACTCCAGTAAAGCTATACAGTTTTGGAAACTCACAGTGGCATTTCTACTCTGCCCTATAGGGTCACTATGAGTGTTAATTGACTCGATGGCAGTGAGTTTTTTGAACCTTGGTTAGAGGACCCTTAGCCAGTCTTGTTTTTCTAATCTGCAAGAGTGCACACATCCCAATCATGATCCCCTTTCTGCTTCTTTCGTCTCTCCCGCAACTGTGATGAATTGATCTACTCTCGATCATAATTTTGCAACAGCTTCCTGGGTTCTCCAGGACCTGTTTTCAGCGGCCAAGTTCCTGTGAATCTTTGGACACCAAATAGCCTCATGCTGACGGTCTCCTTCGTCTGGATGATTCGCCTCTGTCCTCTTAAAGACTCAAATGGATCTCTATAAGCTGTGTTTGAAGTCAGGTTTGCTTTTCTCCCCTAGAACAATGGTAAAAATCCTTCCCTGGATCCCAGACTCAACTCCATTAACCTCCGTATTTTTCTACTTTCCTTTATGGAAAGTGAGCTCATTGTTTTTGCTCCCATTTCCTGGTCTAACTTCTCCGTCCCAACTACAAACAGACGTTCTCCTCACTTACTGACTGGGCCCACCCTTGTCAAGGCTCCTGTCTACTCCCTCGTGCCAAGTTAGCCCCCAGGCCTTGTCTTACTTGGTTTCTCAGTTTGAAGATTAATCACCCCTTCCCTGAAAAACTTTTTTCATTCGGTCCCTGGGAGACCACACTCCCATATTTCCTCCTCTTCCTTTGACAGCTGCCCTTCCTGACCTCTGATTGCTGGTGTGTCCCTGGCTTAGTCCACAAACCAATTCCCGTCCTCATCTTCATTTATCCAGTGTCTAGGTGCAGGGGCTGAAATATTTCTGGTAGGCTTATAGAATTACATCTCTGCAATTACTATCTTTGCTCCACTCCTAGTTGCCTTCACCGATCAGCACTGCTAGATGCACAGATATATTATGATGATAAAGAAATCATGTCGTAATTGCTCCCTCGCCATCCCCCTGGCTACTAAAGGACATTCTAGTTACTAATGAGCATAAGAGAAGGAGAGGAAGGCCCTTGTGAGATGGATTGACACCACGGCTGCAGCTATGGGTTCCAGGATGGGAACAATGGTGAGGGTGGCCCAGGCCCGGCAGCGTTTCATTCTGCGGTGCACGGGGTTACCACGGGTCGGAACTGGCTCAATGGCACCTACTGACGACCGTGATCATACAGTGTGCGGTTTAGGGGGAGGTGACGGTCCTCTGAAGAAACTCAGAACCCGAGCTTTGAGAGGTGAAGAAGGAAGCGGTGTTTTCTGACACCGGTAAATTGAGACCAGCTTGAACTGGGGAATAAAGGATGCTCATTGCCTGCAGGGAGCTTTCGGGTTTTATGACCACCTTTTTTCTTTTTGTTCTCTTCATTTATTGTGCCCTCCTCTCCCTCCTCTCTGTGCCTGCCAGCTGTCTGATTAGTATTTAATCCTGGGAGAGAAGCCTGCTGCCCTTCTCCACCCAAGATACGAATGGAACCGGCTTGCGTGCAATCTGATGGCTGGGAGTGTAATTTCAGGGACTCTAGACCGCCGATGATATGTATCATTCTTTTCACTTCCATCCTAGTCATGCCATAAGTAAGAAATGCCTGGTGATCACGTCACCCGGTGTCTGGCTTTGCTCCAAGCAGCTCTTCACAGACATTGGGACTATAGAAGAAACCTTACAGCCTTGGAGGTCTAAAGGGAATCTCAACCTTAGCCAGTGGACTCTTGATTCTACAGCTCTTCCTGCAAGCAACAGCACAACCCATATAACACGTCGGATCGAAAATGGTGAAGTCGTCTCTGACAGCTCTCTTTCTCTCGGCATCCAATCACTTCTCACCGTGTCTGCCCCTCTCGTAATAAGCCTGGGTATTTCCATTGTCTGCCTTCTTAGCTGTCTGCTTTGTGGACAGAGTAATCTTTTGAAACCATGTCAGATTTGATCTGTCCCTAATTTTAAATGACGAGGGTCTCTGTTGCCCACAAAATGAACTCTGAAGTCTTTCCCAGGGCTTGAACGATCCCGCATTGCCCAGAAGCGAGGCCCTATCCCTCGCTTGCTGCACTGCTGCCACACTGGCTCCTTGCTACTTCTCAAACTCGCCAAGAACATTACTATCTTGGGCCTTTTGTGCTTACCATTTCCTCCCCCTTACATATCTAGATAGCTTGTTCCTTCACTTTAAGTTTCTACTTAAAATTTCTATTTCCCAAATAAGGCTTTTCTGACCATTCGATCTAAAGACACTGCAATTCCCCTTCTTATCACATGTAACACTTCCTGGTATGATATGTTTGCTTGTTTTTCTCTCTCCAGCTAGAAGACAATCACTTTAAGCATTTAATTTTGTTCACTGTTGTGCCCCCAGGAATTATAGTAGTGCTTGACATATAGTATGGTTTTAATAAGTAGCTAATAAATTTGCAAATGCTGAAGACTGTTAGTAGAGAAAGCTCTTTTATTTGAGGTTGCCCCACATATGTGTACTGAACTTTAACATAAGCTAGCGTTCATAGAAGAAAGCACCCATGAGTCAGAGAGACTGTAGATTGCTCTGGTTGATAAAAAAGCCAGAAGAGTCAAAGAAAATCTTCTGTTTAAGTAATGCAGCCACCTAGACAGGACGCAACTGACTTGTGGTTAAGATGAATTGTGGAGAAATTGGGCAAACTAGTCAAAATATTTTTGAGGTCAAAATGCTCTGACATCCCAGCACTGTCCTTGGAAAGTAGATTCAGAGACTGGGAAAAGAGAAAATGCAGTCTGCCTGGGCTGAAATCAGACTCGGGCAGCTGGGGCTCATCATTGTTAGGGACCCTGAGAAAGGGGACGGTTCCTTTAAAATTGCTGCTAATATGTCAATTCTAAGAGTGTTCTTCTCTGTTGTCGAGCTGATGGCAAATGCTGTTTTGTGGGATGTTTTTAAACCAAAATAAATTGGAAAGCATATCGAGCTTTTTCCAGACACACTTACAAATGCCCAACTGTCGAGGTACTGTGCTTCCTCTGGTGGCTGTATACTTGAATTACAGGCACAGTACCCAAATGGAATAATCTCTTAAATCCTGACCTTAACTGTATTTAAAAGAATGACAACATTTAAAGCTATATGTACAAGTAGTAAATGCCATGTGGCATGGAACCTTTGAGATTCTGTATGAGGACATCTGAAGCTCAAAATAAGATGGACAGCTATTCCATCGTTGATGTTGTAGACTAATTTTGATAAGGAAAAATAAAGGGATGGAAATTACCCCCACTCTCAGACCATGGTCCTTGTCCATCCCAAACCACACCCATATTCTCCCTCCCTCTACTTGACTCTGCAGACTGTGCACCGTGGCTGCTTCGGGACTTGGACTTGGGGGAAGAGGAGACAGAGGATGCTAAAACCATAGACACTGCCATCGGGTCGATGCCAAGTCAGCGTGACCCTAGAGGGCAGGGAAGCACTGCCCCTGTGGGTTGCTGAGACCGGAGCTCTTGGCAGGAGTAGAACGCCTCCTCCTCCTCCCCGGGATGGTGAAGAGCGTAGAAAACCAAAGAAGCGAGAGGCTGAAGAAAGCAGAGGGGTCAGTGTACTATAAAGGGGGCAGCTGAAGAGGACAGGTTGAGTGGTTGGATAGTTTTTGCACACTCAGTTGTGGGGAGTGGAATAAAATCTTAATCAGAAGAGCTGAGGTAGAGACCTTCCTACCACATAACCCACATTAAAAATATTGATGTAACACCTGCTTGCATGTGAGAGGCAGATCTGCAAGGAACACTGGAAATCATCCTCACCTAAGCAGAAATGGGGAAATAAGTGTGTGTGTGGGGTGGCGAGGGTGGGGGTTCAAGTGGTTCATAAAACCCACCAAGTGGAATCTATGCCCCTGAAACATTCTACTGCCTGATGTGTGGTTTCAATGATTCAGTCATTTCCAGTGAGTCGGTCAGATCCTGTTTACCAAAAAGCCTGGGAAGCAACAGTTGTTGCTGGAAACACCAACTCACAGGCACTCACATGCTGTCATAGATAATTCTGCTTTAACACTAGAGTGATTCACATGGACCCGTGGCTGCCGGTCTGAAATGAGTAGGATTTAGGTAACCCACTCATAAGGTAGTATTCTCCTAAACGATGACTCTTTTCTGCCTACCCTGAAACGTTCACGGGGCCTTGTAGCAACTTGCCGCCACGTTTCCTTCAGGTAGAGGAAAGGCGGGGCCGACTGTCCTCAAGTTCTTGTTGGCAAACCCAAGCCTACAAAGAAAAGGTAACTTGTGTAAGGCTGCTTTTTCAATGACAGCTCGAGTTGGGTATTCACCTCATTCTTGCTGCTGCTAGACCTTTCTCTCTGAGAGTGTGTGCACTTACTGTGCCACACCTGGGAAGCTCTAGCTCCCCTTTATTTATCTAATTCTCCGCCTTTCAGGTCTCAGTCTTGATAGCTCTTCCTTAAGGAAGGCTTCCATGTCGTTATTAGCGTAAGGTTCCCTGCCAAATACTTCCAGCACACTTTGCATCTCTTCTTCATGTCACTCTGTTCAGTTCCTATCGTCCTAACTCGCTGATAAGATCCCACGGGCAAAGGCTCTTCCCTCTGAACGTTCACCATGCTTTACTTATGCATTTGCGTAGAGTATACCCCTTTTCAAGCCAGACCAAAATCCAACTCAAAAGCTATTTGTAAAAATATGCCAGAAGCAGGTTCATGCTTTCAGGAAGAAGAAGGGGTGGGAGGGAACGGCAGCCTCACCTCACATCTGTTTGTATTGTTCAGGTTTTAGAGATGTTCATGTGCATCTCCTTCAATAAACTACTTAACAAACTGTTTAAGTGAGAACTTACAAGAGTAGAAAAAATGTTTCTATTCACTTTCTAAACTCAAGGAAGGATCAAGTCCTTCTAAACATGATCAATCTTTTCATTTAAAACACTCTATGACATGTTTTATATACCTCAACTATAGATAACGTATTCCCATTTTAACTCTGGGATATGTGCACACATTTTAGCCTCTCCTCCTCAAAGACAACCTTACTCCGCTTCCTTCACGGAGAAAGGAGTCTGAAGTCATGCTATGTGAGACTAGACCACCATGTGCTTCTGTTTGTTTTCAAAATGGTCACAGTGACAATAACAATATTTATCCCAGAGGATCGGGATAAGAATGAAATGAAGAATGCACATAAAGGAGTGGCTAGCAGACATCAAGCACACCATACATACTATTCTTTTCATTCAATAAATATCTGTGGACAGACCCTCCTGTACCGGGCATTGTGTTCAGTACTGGGAAGAGGCTGTGGGTTATTTATTTTTCATACATTTTGACAACTGTCTGCTCCCTCATGTGCTCTCAAGGGGTAGTTGGATGGAATTGCCCAAATTATTTTGTGGATGAGACCACATAGCCATGATGTTCTGAATCCCAGTCAAGAGCTGGACACGGGGAAGGTGATGACATCATCTTAGCGTGGGAAAACTTTCAAGAGCTGGACGTAGTCTATCTACAGCCTGGGAGAGAAAAGGCCACCGAATAGTCAAAGCTAGGCCAAGTCTAGCACCCACCCACCTGTTTCTCACCCCCTTGGTCTCCCCCAGTGTGTGTGTGTGAAGGGGTTTGGGAAATATAATATCCAACTGGGTGAAATGGAAATCCATTTCAATGGGGGTTAGGACATCTAGACTTTTTAAATTTTAGAATGCTGGTTGGGGGTTGGAAGATGAGCAGAAATAAGAAGAGTGGGTGTGCATTTTACAAGAATTTAGGATTCTTGGTTGAGTAAATCTGTCATGGTTGACTTGTCTCATTTGCAAAACATTTTTGCCTGGGTTTTATTGGGGTTTCACATTTTAAAAATAAAAACACAAAAGCAGTTTTGTACATAATTCAGAGAAGAAAGCAGCAGGCAAGGGAAGGAGTAACTGCCTAGCGGGTGGATCCCCCTGTAAGGGGGCGGGGGGCTTTCTCACTAACCATTGAGGCCCCAAACCTGAGGCAAAGCAGCTCTCAGTAGAACCCGAAGAAGAAGCCCGAGGCCAAGAGAATAAACAGTCAAATGGGCACAGAGTGCAAAGCTCAGCCTACCCATCAACCCAATCGCTCTCAACAGCCACCGAGGTCTCCAAGAACGGTGTTCTGCTACGGAAGCCTTAAAGTGTCCCGTTTGGTTTTCTGAGCCCTGCGCCTTATTCCGTGCCTAGATCTCGGGACGTTAAGAGCCAGGGATTTGGGCCCCTTGAGGAATTGATTCCTCTCCTGGAAATCTGGCAAGAGACAGCCTGCTTCACAGCGATCCCACATCCCCAGCATCTATCTCGGGGCTTTTCCTAGAAAAGTCTATAATGGATTTGCGGTCATGAAAACCCCAAGCCCAAAACACCCTGGACATCAGGAGTTCCCCCCTTCCCTGATGCCACTTCCACTCCAATTTGCCTCCCACACCCTAACTGAAGCCCCAAGGCATGTAAAGCAGAAATGCATTGACGGTCCCTCCTACTCAGCCAAGGGCACTGGTGACCTGGTGGGTGAGACATTGGGCTGCTGACAGCAAGGCCAGCCGTTTGATGGAGCCAGGGAAGGGTGAGGCCTTTTGTTCTTGTAAAGAGCTACAGCCTCAGAAACTCACAGAAGCAGTTCTACTTTGTCCTATAGGGTCACCATGAGTCAGAGTTGACTCCATGGCAGTGAGCCAAGCCTACTCCTACAGCAAGTCCAAAGTCCACTTCTGGTTTCACCCCCCCACCCCCAATTACCGTTTGTCATAATCCTGGCAGTAGTAAACAAAGAACATTATCTTGCCTTTGGAGGGAAGACAGGGCAAAAGACAGGAACAGAATCTAAGTCCGAATGCTTTGCTATTTATCGGGCCGACTGCATAAGCAACACAGACCTACAGGACTCCAGTTTTGCATTTCCCACTTATTGGAACCAGTTCCAGGCTCCAGAAATCTGGGTCTTTCCCCTTGACCTTGAACGTTCTCTTCCAGGAAAGTAGCTGCTAATGACCACACTGAGGCCACTGCCATTTCTTAGTTGAAGACCTGAGGTTTTCACTTCTACGTCCTCATTCCCACTCCAACCCTTTCTTTCTGGTCAGTTCATGTTCCTAGTTTGTCTGCTGCTTTGCGTGTGGCTCCTCCCCAGGGCAGAGATGTAGCTGTTCCCAGACCTCCTCCCTCCAACTTAGTCTCTCTCACCGGGGTCTTTGCCAGAACTCTACCCAGGCTAAACCAACCAGTCCATTGAGGCTTTAACCAGAGCCTCTAGCTCTGAGAGACTGGTCTGAAATGTGACCAGTCCCTTTGGCTTCGAGATCCCACTTTCCTTGAGAAATAGAATTGGTGGGGCACCCTAGTGTCCCTTCCTCTTGGAAAGAGGCTAGAGAATTCAGAGCCGGTCCCTAAGGAAGAGACAAGTGGCCATAGCTCCTAGCACCTGCATCTTTTTCTTCCCCCACAGGGCTGGTTCTTGGCAGGTCACGATGCTATCCAAACCCTCAAACCGATTAACACTCACCTGCTCCACAGCTTAGCTCAAAATCCAGGAAGAGAAACAGCAGGATGTACAAGGATTGGCGGCCCTTGAGATCCATCAGCCAGGGAGGAGAGGTGAGACAGCTTGCGGGGTGCCTGCTAGCTGCTGATAGACAGATACCAGGGCAGAAGAGCTACATGTCAGTCAGTGCTGCCTCCGCCTGCAAGTCTGTGTAGCAGCTTCCTGTCTTACTGGGACTTTTTCTGTGTCTTGAGGATTGCTCATCTCCTTCAAGATCTTAAATCACTTTGCTATTCTCAAAAGCTATGCTACGAGTCAGGTGTTCAGACTACTGGAGTCAGGAAGGGGGCTGAGCCAAGTTACTTCAATCAAACCCTAGCTTTAGACTGAAATGCGCACCCCCACCCTTTTCTTAGCACTCTCTGGGGAGGGGTGCCACTGCTCTCTGGGAAGTTCTCTCTGCCAATTCTTTTCTTGACTACAAAGAAAGTCTCTTTTGTGCTCAACTTGGTAGCGAACCTGGCCTTTAACCAGACCACTTCCATATTTGCACCAGTGAATTAAAAAAATGAACTCGGATGCCTGAATTTGGATATGCTAGCGGGACCCTCACTTCTGATTTGCCCCTATAATTTTGGAGGACATTTCTGAATGTGGAGTTCCCAAGGAGAGCACCTGGTAAAGCCCTCCACTGGTACCCCACAGGGGATCGCTTGACTCTACCCGCAGGCAGACCCCCAGAAGGCAGTCCTGGAGATCTGCTTCTGAAAGGTCACAACCTGGGAAGTCCTCCAGCCACCGTCCACTCCACAGCACGTGAGCTCGCCGTGAGTTCGAATCCACTCGACAGCAGCCGGTTTTGTTTGGCTTCGCTTTCATCTGCTGGGCTGCTGCAGGCACAGGTGGGCAAGAGCGCATCAGTTGGCAGAAACCCAGCCTCTCTGCTGCTACCGGGTGGCACACCTTAGCGAACCCTATGCGCTATTTGAAGAAGTGTCCTTTGTTTATGGTGGAACTGCACTGGTGGATTGGAAATGGGTTTGAGCCAGGTGAAAATAAAAACATTCTCATAGGATCAGTTGGCTATATAAGATTTATAGTCAAGGGTCTCACTCACCACCACTGAGTCGATTCCCCCTCCAGGGTATTGTACATAAACTGTGTTTTGTAGGCCGTAGGCTATCTATTCTTCATATAAGTAAAATTTATAATATGATTAGTTACATAAGAGGGAGCTACAAAAAGCTCATGGTAAATGGTAATGGAAAAGGGTAATCGAATTTTTCCATGAACTTTAGGAAGGCCCCTCCTACATGGGTCTACATATATCCATGTATGCACATAGATATGCACACACATATACATATACAGGTGTATGTTGCTTAATATAAAGGAGCTCTTCTGGCACAATGGGTTACGCACTTAGCTGCTAACTTCAAAGGCAGCCCTTCAAACTCACCAGCCGCTGGGTGGGAGAAAGAGGAAACCGTCTCCGTAAAGAGTCTTGGAAAACTTAGGGAGCGGTCCTTTGCTGTACCATAGGGTCGCGCGGAGTCAGCGTCAACTCAATAGCAGTTGGAATTGGTTGCTTAATGTCTCTTGGGGCAATGGCCAACTGCATAGACGCCTGTGGCTTGAGTTTTTGTTTTTGTTTCTAAAGGGACAGGAGCTCTCTTTGGGGTATTATTTCCCCTAATGGTTTGAAAGATCTCAAACCACCAGAGTGAATGAGCAGAGGGCATTGGTTGGCTTCGGGTTCTGAGTGGTCGTAGTGGCTGCTGCCCACGATCAGGAAGCCACTGCACTAACAGATCAGCGATGGCCAGGGCCACCACGGACAATCCCTCTACTGGCACTGCCATGTCTCCTTGTGGTTCCCTTGAGCCACCTCTCTCCCTACACCAGCCCTGCACCCAAATGTGGGTCCAGTTTTCGTTTGCGTGCTGATGCAGCCCACGCCAGGCCCTGCCACCTACCCATGACTGCACCCCTGAATCCAGTGAACAGCGCTCCCTGACTTCATCCAGCAGGCTTCCGTAAGGTTTCAATAGAATGGGATTAATGGGGAAGCAACTGTCAGGAAATTAAACAACCATGCACTGGGCAAATCTGCTGCACAAGAACTCTTCAATGTTTGTATTTTTTCTCTTCAATGTTTGAAAACGCAAAGATGTCTCTTTGAGGACTAAAGTGTGCTTGACTTCACCTGTGAGAGCATTTTTCTTTTTCTTTCTTTTTTTTTTCATACTTTTTTTTTTTAAACATTTTATTAGGGGCTCATACAACTGTTACCGCAATCCATACACACATCAATTGTGTAAAGTGCATTTTACATCATTCTCAAAACATTTTCTCTCCACTTAAACCCCCGACATTAGGTCCTCATTTTTCCCCTCCCTCCCCACTCTCTCCTCCCTCATGAGCCCTTGATAGTTTATAAATGGGTATTTTGTCATATCTTGCCCTGTCCGACGTCTCCCTTCACTCACTTTTCGGTTGTCTGTCCCCCAGGGAGGAGGTCACACACAGTTCCCTGTAATCGGTTCCCTCTTTCCTACCCATTCTCCCTTTACCCTCCCTGTTTTGCCACTCACACCACTGGTCCTGTAGGGCTCATCCGCCCTGGATTCCCTGTATTTTCAGTTCCTATCTGTACCAGTGTACATCCTCTGGACATCCAATGGCCTCATGTGGGCATCTTAAACAGCTGTCAATCATCAAGCTGTACGTGAGAGCTGGACCACTGCCTATGGAAGACTGAAGAAAACTCGATGCCGTGAGCTGTCAGAACTAACAAATCTGTCTTGGAAGAAGGACGGCCAGAATGCTCCTGAGCAGTAAGGATGGGGAAACTTCATCTCACTTACTTTAGATACATTATCCCGAGGGACCTCTGGAGAAGGCTTCATAAAGCAGAGGGCCAATGAAGGAGCAGAAGACCCTCAAAGAGATTGCTCGACACAGTACCTGCAACAATGGGCTCAGACTTAACTCCAAGCATGAGGGTGGCAGGACCGGGCAGTGGGGTCGTCTGTTGTGTGCGGGGTTTCTTTGAGTCAGAAGCAACTGGATGACATAACCACCACAACATGGGGCTTTAACTAGGTTTTGAACGTGACTTTTACTGGCACTGCTTTGTACACAACATGGTGTTTTCCACAATATCCTAATAGCATACCACACTGTTTACCAACCTACTGTGCATGTTAAGCAATTCATGCCTGTACATTATGTTTAGAGATCTTGTTACTTACCAGCACCTGTAGAATAGTCAAGATCACAAATGGTGGAGTGAGTGGCACCCTCTCCCAACATTTATAAAATAGCAGCTGGAATAAAACAAACTGGATTGGGGATGTTTGGGATGGAAAAGCCTTATCTCAGAAGGCTGATAAATACAGCACCACCATTCCATTGAGAAACCATGTCTGTCCAGAGTAGACTACTTGATGTGCATACACACCAACTCTAGTTTTGCTTTTGAAGGCTTTTGAGATAGAAGCTAGTCTATGTTGCTTTAAAGTAATATCATTTGATATTTGAAACATCTTGATAGGGCTGGATCCTATGATGAATACCATTTTATAGATGGGAATCAGGACATTTGACTCCCAAACGGGTGTTCTTTCCTCAAGGCACACGGCTTCTGGAATACACGATCCAGTCTACTTGTGTCAAGAAGCCCTTTTCTCCTAGAGACTGGGACAGACAAGGGGGGCTGCAAGAAGTTAGTGGAGAGATGGAATTGAAAGATAATGCAATTTTCCTATGAAAGGTAAAAATTTTGAAGCCCCACATACATTCTTTTTACTTTGCTTTTCCTCTTTTTCTTTAACCTGAGGGCCGTGACCCCTTTGGGGAGTTGAATGACCCTTTCACAGGGGTCACCCGATTCATAACAATAGCAAAATTATTTACAGTGATGAACTAGCAACGAAAATAACATTATGGTTGGGGGTCACCACAACATGAGGAACTGTATGAATGGGTCACGGCATGAGGAAGGTTGGGAACCACTGCTGCCCTTCTCCAGCCTTATCAAGGGGCATCCGCACTCTATTTCCCACAGCTTCCTCTGCATAGACAGAGAATTCACGTTGGCATTAGTCAGAAGGGTTTTACTGTTCAGTGCAATACAGCACTCAGAGTTTCTCTAATGAAGATAACGTTGATTTAGATGGAGGTTCCGACACCTGACAGCAAGCTAAATGCCCCTGCCCCAAATCAGTATCCACCAGGAACCTCAGTGTGCGGTCCTACTCAGAAGTAGCGTCTCCATAGATGGATGAAAATAAGAATGGAGATGAGAGCATGATAGATTAGGGAAAGCCCTGAAGTCAAGGCAAATGTCCTCATAAGAGACAGAAAGAAGACACAAAAACCAAGAACAAGACAGAGGACTGAGCACCATTAAAAACTGCAAAGAGGCCAGGAAGCAGTCTTCCTAGTGCCTCCAGAGGGAGCACAGCCTAGCCAACAGCTTGCTTTCAGATTTCTTCCTCCCAGAACTATGAGCAAGTACATTTCTACTGATTTAAGCCACCAAGTTTGTGACTATGCGTTACAGCATCCACACGAAGCTAGTATAGGCCCGGAGGACAATGAGTAACTCGGGGTTGTGTGGAGTTAGCTAGTCTGCCTAGGGGATCAAGTTGCAGTGAAGCACAGAGTTTGACAGATGAACAACAAAAGATAGACCAGTGACAATGCTTTGTATTCATAAAAAGATTTTCCTTTCTCCACCACACTTGGTCCTCACCACAGCCCTAAGGAGGCACTGAGCTGGTGGTGGTGTAAAACCAAAGCTTGGCGTCCTGAATCTGTCTGTGTCTAGACCTTTCCCTCGTCCATCTTCTACAGTGTGCTCACTGTCCCCAAGAACACCCATCAGGTAAGAAGGAAGGGAATTCCACTCAGCAAACTCTCTAACTGCTAGAGCTTCTAGGGATCTTCAAAAAGTTCATGGAAAGTTTCATGTTTTTTTCATTACATTATCAGATGACGTTTTCGAAGCCCCCTCGCGCATATGTGAGTCCATTCCTCTTCTTCACAGTAAGCAGCAGTCATAATCATGCTTTTTGGAGATAAGGGAAACGA